GTATCCTATAAAAATTCTTTTTGAAGAAATTTTCACTCATAAAATTTCCTTCTGCTCCTGTATCGATGAGGGCTTCTACTGGTACATCGCCAACCAGGACTTGTATAATTGGTAGCTGTGAGTTTTTTACGATGACCGTGTTTAAATGTCTATTTGAGGGTTTTTTTAAAACTTCCGGGGTCTGGACCCTCCCTTTCACAGGCCCCTCTAGTCGTTTAAAGCTTTCCTTTCAATCTGTGTCTTCTGGGTACGCGGATGTTTATTTTCAAATTTTTCTTTTTGGGCCTTGACCTTCGAGTTTCGATGCGTTAGCTTGATAGTTCTTTCCCCCATAAGAGCGATTTCCATTTCTGGTTTCCTCCTTTAAAGATTTCCTTCGGGTACTTTGAGAATATGTTTCCCCTCTCGCTTTTTCCGCTATTCTGCGATTTTGATTTGAAACTTCACCGCCAATTCGACGAAGAGTTCCTGCAATGTTCTTGGGTTTCTAATTTCAAAGTAGTCTTGAACAGCGGGTAACAATCTTGGTAATATTATTTCAATAATCTCCGCATCGGGTTTCTTTCCATACAGCATATCCGTTAGCTTGATTTTTCGTAGAATAAAGTCCGTCAATTCTGCTGTATCCCGTTGATAGAAACTATATAGCTCGGCTTCCAGCCGTGCGCGATCTTTCACTATGGGGAAGGCCTTTACTAACGATTTTTTGAAATTTTCAAATGTATACGTCGGGCTTCCAAATTCACCTAGTAAAAATTTGCCTATGTTTTTCCACCATAGCGCGGCCTGTCCTCTTAGTGCTGATGTGGCGATGGCAACTTTTTGTCTTTCAGGCACAGGGTAGAGCTGAAAGTGGTTTTCTAGACCTTTTAGAAATACCGCCACCGAATTTTTTCCGTCGAAATGGACGTTTGGCTTGATTGATGCTCTCAAAGTCTGGACCAGGTATCCAAATCCTTCTAACTGAGTTGTCATTTCTTGGTGTTGTCCAGCGGCTTCCATCCAATTTTCGGCCATTTCAGTTCGATAAGTGTTCGGGCGCCAATATAACGTTGCGCGCCTCCAACTTGCACGCAACCAAGAGGTGACTGTGAAAGCTGTATAAAACACAGAGTCTTGTAAAGGGTTTAAGTCCCTTTTTATTCAACGTAATAAATTACAATTGCGTCCTCTTGACGCTTACAGACGGTGCCAACTCGGCAGTCAAATAAAAATAATAACCTGAAAAGAAACTAAAGACAAGATTCTAACTACGAGGCTCTCTAAAATAACTAACTCACCGCGTTTTACAATACCGCTGCTAATTCAGCAGACTTGAAGCTCACTGGAACGATTAACACTACTTCCCGCCAAGCACATAGGCCGAAACGCGGGGTTCTTCAATTCTCGCTAACTACCTCCGCGCTCGCTAAGTAAGAATATCACACACCGAACTTGTTTCCTTCTATTTAAATCATAATACTTCCGCTGATAATTTGAATGCTTGCGCGTTCTACTCAAATTTACATATTCTGGCATTGGCAGTTCCAGGGGAAAGTAAGGCTTGACAGGAAAGATAGTTTAAACTTAAAATAAATGTTAGTTAAAATAAATATAAACCCTACAAAGTAAAAATAAATAAATTAATTAATTAAATAAGGAGGGCACAGGTACTTTCTTAAGCCAAATGGCAAGGTGGTGTATAAAGATTTGATATCTATTTCCAAATTATATTCCAAAACACAGCTATGAGAGGGATATCCCTGCATAATTTGTTTTACAAAATAAATAAATAAAATAAAAAACCACCTCACAGTACGCTCGATGCTTGTTTCTTGTGGTTTCAAATTCACCTTACCTGTAGGTGTTTAGTATACATCAGAAACTCTATTATGCCACAGAGCCCTTTGTATAGAAGGGTTTGATCAAAGCTAATATAGGGAAACCCAAGGAATTTGTTTCTAGGGACAGAAAACACCGGACATCGTCCCAGGAAGTGAAAAGGTGTTTCCTCTTCTTCTCCACAAGCTGGGCAGAGAGAAGATTCGACAAGACCACATTTGTGGAGATGTTTGGTCAGATAAGCATGTCCAGTAACAATTTGAATTACCTTGCGTAAGTTAGTTCTACTGAGGTGTATGAGTTTATCTCATAAGTTAAGTGTATTGAGCACCAATTTAGAATGAGCACAGTCTGGTAGTTTAGACCATATACCATCATATTTGTTCTTTTTCCACCTTCTTATTTCTTTTTTAACAGTTTGATATGAAACTGAGTAAAATGGTTATGGGCCAGACATGTGTAGTTGCAAAGCACCTTTAGCTACTTTATCAGCTAGTTCATTTCCAGCAAAATCACAATGACCTGGGACGCAGACTAAACTAATGGTGTCATGGGCCTGAGCCAGCGAATTGAGATCTTGAGTACAGTTCAAAACACAGTTTTGTGACTTGACATGATTAGCCAGGGCAAGGATGGCTGATTGGCTGTCAGAGAGAATATATATATTCTTATCAACTGTATTTTTAGCTAAGAGCCCCTCGGCTTGGAAGACAGTTGTTAATTTACCAAGGTATAGATGAAATCTTCCCTAGATCCCTTGGTTCTTATAATAACTCCAGCTCCGGTGAAGTTAGATTTGATCCATCTGTGTAACATTCAGTTGATCCTGTTGGAATTAGGTCGTTAGAGATTCTATCTCATTCCTTTTTGGTATATAAGTTGAGAATAGTTTATCTGGAACTATTGTTTTAGTAATTGCATCTTTTAGCATATAGATTATAGGGATCTCATTGCCCAAGTCCAGGCATAATGTCAATGTGGCTTTTATGACCAAAACCTGTCTTTTGGCACCATTGGCCATTTTTATTCAACCTATACATGGCTTTAATTGCTTCTCCACTCAAGAATAATTTCAAGGGTGGAATTTGCAATAAAAATTCTAATGCAGCAGTAGGGGCACTGTTTAAAGCCCCACTAATGCATAGGTAAGCAAGTCTTTGCACCTTTTGTAAAATGTTTAAATATGTGCTTTTGTTAATAACATTGATCCAGACCATGCATCCGTAAGAAAACATTGGCCAGACTATGGCTGTATAAATCCATAGAGTAGATTTTGTGTTAAGGCACCATTGTTTACCAACGTCATTTATGGTAATCTGAGTAGTTGAAGGTTATGGAAACCCTATTATGATGTAATTTGTTGCATGATTGCAGTGAACTTGACTGATGGGAAAATATTTGTGTGCTTTGCAGCGTAAAATGGCTGCCAGTGGTAAAGTGGGTGTTTGGTGGTATAGAACAAGGGAGACGTTTTTTCTTGGGGGGGGGAGTGGTTGAGGGCAGAAGAAAAGAAACTTTGTTGGATGTAATTCAACATAATTATAAGTGTTCTGTTTGTATGAAGGAAATGTGTATGGTCGAACATAAAGATCGTTCAGATAGCTTTGAATGGGTTTGTTGCCAGAAAAGTTCAAATGGTCACCATATAAAGCATTCCATTAGAAAGGGAACTTGGTTTGAGGTTTTGGAAAGTTTCTGGATGCTGTAAAGGAGTTTTATGTGCCACAGACTGAAGACAGAATTTCTAAATAAGGTAAGTGGATATTTCCTTTGTGTGGTGTGTAGATGCGATAAATAGTGCATAGTGCTTTTTTATGTTATCTCATTTTTGATCATATATATATATTTTTTTTTTGGCTCTAGTGTAGAATTTGGTGATCTTTCTATTTTTAAGTGAAAATAGATTGATGTGTACATAGACAAAGACAAGTGCACAATGTTGAGTTTGTGCAATGTTTTTTTAAGTGAAAATAGGTTGATGTATATATGGATACCGAGTTTGTGCAGTTCTTTAACTTGTTAACAGAAATCGTTGCTACACAAAACCAAAATAATAAGTCAATGAATTGCACAAACTCGGTGTCCATGTACCGCCAATTTTCGCCAAGGGGCACCCATAACTATATTTTGCCAAACGTCAATTATAGTAATAAAATGATGTAATCATTAACAAAACTGGGTTTAGTTTCATTATTTTTAAACTTTTAGCATTCTTTTATTCCAGAATTTTATAGTTGTTCTATGTATAAAGGTGTTTTGGGGAATCTCAATAGTACAGTTGGAAGAAATTAGTCTAGGGAGTGAGCGGTTTGGTTGAGCTAATTCCAGCAACCCCTCTCCTTGTTCAATTCTTTCTGCTTTTGCCCCCAGCTTTGCACACCGCTCTTGATCTATGCCTGTTCCAAGTGCATTCATCAAGGTTATTGTTAGGGAGAGGTGAATTGTTAAAAAGTACTGATTTACTTTAGTGAACAAATGCTTTCTCCTTTGAATTGCATGAAAGAAATTTCAAAAGTGTGTGAAATGTTTAGATATAAATTTGAATGTATGGAATTAAGAATGATTTTAACAATCTTTAAGATATTGCTACACATTTTCCCTTAAAATGTGAAGTTAAAGATGTTGAACTCATGCTAGAACAAGACTAGTGAATCAACCAATGAGAAGTCGATTGAATTAGAACAGAAAAGAAGTGAAAAAAATGAATAAACTGAATCAGAAATTTAAAAAAAAAAAAAAATACCACAAAGGATTTATCTAAATACTTTATGTTGTTAAGTTGGAAGCCATGGATTCAAAATTCAAGGGATTTAAAAAAGATAATGACAAATGATCATTTATATTCCTATTGTAAAATTTGTAAGAAAAAGAAGAAAAACAAATGATTCAGGCAAAATAAATAATCATAGAAAAGCCAGAGCAACAAGTCAAAAGTGCAACTGCAGCAACAGTTGTAATTGATGACAGATAGGAGTCTACTACCAATAGTGGAGGCAAATGAGAAGGCAATTTTTTGCCATAAATAAATTTTGCACCTATGCAACAATTTATTTATTTAAACTTTTCTCTCATTTGTTGTTGAGATTGAAATGCAACCAGCCATTTGGAACCTAACGCCATCATAAATCATTGATCCCCTGCATTATGGAAGTGAAGTTCAAAAACAGTACTACTTGATTAAAAAAGTTGCTGTAAATCATTTTATTTTTTATCATCTGAGTTCAGGAGCAGATGCAATTGTAAACATGTTTTTGTTTTGATAGTTAATATTGCTGGAATGAGAAGTATTCTCTACAGCTGGGTCTACAAAATCTTGCATAATCAGTCTAACAGTGCTTGATTAAAAGTACACATTTTTTTAATAAAAGTATATATACATAAGTAAGATTCTGTCTCTCTTACCAACATACATAAAAGTTTGAATTCATTTAAAAATTTGATTTTTTATTTATTCATTTATCGTGTTTGTGATCGTGCCAGTTATCCATGAAACCAGGTTCTGTACATGACTGTAAAATCCATAAGTATTTAAGACACCGCAACGGAAACCCCAGCTAGTGATCCCGACTTGTGTCCAGTAGACGTTTCCATCTGCATCTTGTTGTGACTGCATCAGAGGGCCTCCACTATCACCTTGGCATGTGTCATTACCATCTAAAAAAAGAAAGAGCAATTAAAGAAGAAAAACGAGAACAAATAATTTAAATGAAATGAAACTTTATTTCCATCTGAAAATATATTTTAATATTAAGTGCAGAAAATGCCTCTCATAGAGATTATTTAGTGTATATAACAGTGGTTCTCAAGCTTTTTTTTTTTTTTTTTTTTTTTTTTGCCTCACGCACCCTTTACACTATTGCTAGACAATCTTTACCTCCCTTTCCAAAACTTAAAAAATATATCTACATTTTTTTATTTAGATTATTTTTAAAAATATTTTATAAGAACAAGGAAATGTAGAGAAAATGTTAATAAATATCAGAACTTGAATAAAAATAGTTTTTTTATGTTCACAAATTAAAGTTAAATACTTACAGGTAAATAAGAGGCTGACTGCATTCCCTCCTTAAAATATGAAATTCCCCCCTGATTGAAAACCCCTTGGTATATAATAAGAAGTTAAAGAATTATTTTATTAATCATTTTGTGGAGGAATCCGTAAGAGGAAATTGTTTACCCATATGGGGGGGGAATTGCACTTTCTGTAACAATATTAAAAAGCTTACAAGAATAGCATGGAAAATTTCCTTTAACAGTACTTTTTTGTTTCCTCTGCCATTAATCAAGATTTTAAGAAATTTAGCTCTTTTAATACATTCACTGGTGAACATATGCTGCACATAATGTGGTGGTATTATCTAATTGCTATTCATGCTACAGTGTGTGGTGAGGTTTTGTAAACACTCTGTTTTCATGTTGGTCAGCATTGTATCTTGGATTGTATATGGTTGTGGTGGTAAATGCAATAAATTTGACTTTTAGTTTGGAGTTTACATTTTTTCTATTAATTTTTTTAGAGTTTTTCGTAATACAAACAATATAATTGGAAGTTTTTCCTAAATCTTAACTGTTTACATTTTGTCAGGCAAGCATATAAGTAAATTTAGTTCCTTAAATGAAGAAGAATAGGTCCCCCTCACAAATGATTCGGAATATTCAAATAATAATATACATGAAGAAAATTATGCAGAAATTTCAATATAACTTCAGTCTATTATGCTAGGATACATAATTTGGAAAAACAAGTCAACATCTACAAGATACTTTCTTTAAATTAGCTTGGCTTCTGGTTAAGTTTTGAATGTCTACTCTGGCAGTGAACATGTTAAAAATTTGTTTTCTCTGTTTCTTTAAATGTTTATTCATGAAATTAAAAAAATGTTCACTATTAGAAAGTTTAAAGTATTATGAATAAAAGTTATAAAATAAAAGAATAAAAGTAATTTCGGATTAAAGAAATTGGCATTTGTGACAAAATTATCCATGAAAACAGCCCAATGGCCTATTTTTCTCATTTTATATACACACACATATATATGTAAGATATAAGAAAATACGATAGCTGCTTTAAAAATAATTGGCAACATCAAAATTAACGATTCTAGATTTGGTGCTTTCCCCCTAAATTCATCTGTATCCCAAATTCGAGATCCTTCTAGTTATGTAACAACCTAAAATTAACCAATCATGACTTAGAGTCATGTATGCACCTACACAATATAAATACGGCTTAGCGAGGAAATATGATCTTTTTTCCTGATTTCTGCTATGCAAACAACTCTGCGCTACTGTGCTTCTCTGCCTAAAATGGTTACGTTGCACATCTGAAATCAGTGTACATAAAAATTTATTGTATTCAAGGATGAATGAAATGTAATTTGTCTGCCAAAGAGATGATTTGAAATGTGTAAAAATAAAGATGGTGATTCTCCAAAATTAGTTTTGTTAACGTCTCCTTCATGCCTTCACCTACACCTTAAAATATCACATTTAAAGATGTGTGGATGTGTACCTGTGCTTCACCGAAGGGTTATCAAAATTGTGGCTACAAGTATGAAAGAGAATTAGTTAATTAATGCCTGCATGTGCTAATCTTCAAGATATCTACAGCTCCGTGAATCTATGTGCGCAACCCGGAATCAGCGAGTCAACTACATTGAATCAAGTTACAAGTTTTAAATGTTTACAAGTCAAAATCCATTCTTCGAAATTTAATTCAGCATATGTGGTGATTTAATAAGTGACACATAATTTAACAGAAATATGAAAATGAAAAAAATAATCGAATCATATATGTGCTGCGAGTGCTTAAAAAGGAAAGCTGTTCAAAATTAATCCAGCGTTTGTTTACAGTAAAAAACCAAGTGTTTTCAGAGTGCCAACGTTTCAAATCACTCCAGTACTTTGAAGGTCATCATTCTTTCTGTATGCGTAGCAGCGATTCCATCATGTAACTTGTGCGTCAGCAATCTTATTCCATTCCTTTCCTTAGCTTCAGCCATTGCTAGCATATCTTCTATGGTCTGCTAGTCCGTCTAAAATGATGTTGCATTGTTAACCTGCATATATAAGAAATTATCATTAAAGAGTATATTGCCTATGAGGAATTACTCTAATGTGCCTGAAATTATGATGATAATTGGCTGAACTTGGTCTTCCTCGTGACTACAAGCTGATTCCTCTTACACAGTAAATTATGATTACATATATATGTACAGAAAAAGAACTTATGATAATTTTTTGTAAAAGGATAAGAAATTCTTTTCGCATAGTATAGCAGGTGTTATAATCCTTATTATTTAGTCATGTGAAATTTGTTATTTCTTTTAAAAAGCCAAAAACTGATGATTTTAGTTGGAGCATATGGAGGTAAATTAACACAGCAATCTATGAAATTATACAGGTTGAAAAGAGAAGTCTATGTGGGCCTCTTTTTATTTTTATGTACACTGAATGCCTGAGACTGTTTATCTGTAGTGCACATGACCAACAAAAGGAATTTCATTTTCTCTAATTAAAAATAAAAAGATTAAAAAAAAAGGTTAGGTATGAAATCTAACTTTGCATCATAGCAAGACAGAAGTAAATGTTAAGAGCATACAACATTATCTGTGTGATATGAATTGATGTTCAGAAATGCAGTGTTGAGTTGGAATTGGCAGTTATGTGTAACTGACACAAGGTCCATGACATTTAACTGTCAGCAGGTAGCCAACAGGGCATTTAGCTGACATGGACAGTTAACCGACAGGACACTTAATGACATGACATGGGCATTTAACCAACATAGACATTTAGCCGATATGTATGTTTAGGTGACACAGACAGTTAACCGACAGGACATTTAGCTAACAACACGTTTAGCTGACAACCTGTACATATAGGTCTGTCAGTTCTATACGAAGGACCTGCTTGCGAAATCTGCTGCCAATGACTCCAGTAGATTGGAAAACGCAGTAAGTGTTCCGCAGTCCTATTTAAAAAAAACCACGCTCAATAGCCTTTTTCAAGAATGGCAGAAAAGATGGGAAAGGGAAAGCACAGGGAGGAGAACCTACAAGTTCTTTCCAAAAGTCACGTGCTCAGTTAATACGTACAGCGGAGCACAAACTCAATTCTACACTGGCCATGGTCCCTTCCCACATTATCTTAAGAGATTCAGCATACAAGCATCAGATTTGTGTGAATGTGGTATGGCAGGTGATGCAGATCACTTCCTCTTCAACTGCCCACAAACCGATAAACTGCATTTAAAAATGCCAAGCAGTGAATACTGGCCGCAATGGGCGGAGAATACCCGCGGCAACAAGCAGACGAAAACTAAAATAGAGGAGGTAATCAGGCTTTGCTCAGCAAGATACTAAGAAATTCTCCCCCTCTCTTGAGAATTGTATCTTCGCAGCATAATTTTAATAGCAATTCAAAATACTACTACAACTGAATATCAACACTAGGAAAATAGCTCACCCCATAGAATAATAACAGGACTGTAAGAGCAAAACTATTGTAATGTAAGCATATTACTATCCAGTTTGTATGTACTTGATAAAAATAATATTGTAAAGCAGTTTAAATGATATTGAAAATCCAGTCAATGTGTGAATGAATTACAAGTTTAATTTTGATTATCTCAGTAAAAGTATTGTAAATATGAATTCATATAATGTTTAAATGTACACATAGCTATCATGATTTTATGTATCTATCATATGTAACTTGTACAAGACAATGATTGTAATCAACATATCTATGCTTATACACAGGTCTTGTATGCCCATGTAATATTTATATGTATATTTTTACACGGAGGAAATTTTCCCTTCTGCCAGGATGACTACTAACACTGTAAGACTTTTACAACAAAGTCAGGTCAGTGGTTATCTCAGGCGGCGCTCAGTTCTATACGAAGTGAGAGCCATTGTTCTTGCAAAGCAGTTGCAAGGATCTGAAAAGAAAGATTCAGAGCAGCTATATGTCTTCCTAAAGCATCCCAAACATGTTCAATAGGATTCAGGTTCGGTGATCGAGCTGGGAACTAACTACATGCGCTGAATTGCTTGCTGCTAATGATAATCATCTACGATGTGAGCCCTGTGCGTTAGGCTGGAGTGAAAAAAAAGGGAAAAAAAAAAAATATTTCCTGACCCAATAAATGGTTCTATTCCATGAACGTAGTAAAAAAACTGCAGCTCAATCTCTCGTCATCTTCAGGTTCCACATAAGGTTAAACAGAAAAAATCAATGTTAATATTAATGAAAACGTCAAACTATTTTTAACAATATTTTTTAATGATTCTTTTTACAACAATTTTGTTTCCTGACCCAACATATGGTTGTAATTGGTAAAAAATGGCATTAAAAAAATTTCAACTTATTCACTCGTTATCTTCAGGTTTCACAAGAGAACCGAAGAAATTCATCTTGTTATTGAACTTGATAAGTTCATTCTGGGACTTGATTCGACTGCTTAAGAATCCAACCCTGGCTTCTGCACAACATGTTGCCAATGATGCTTCTGTCACCAGTCTCACATGCCTATATACTACTTGATAATGACAAGGGAGCTTTCCTATTTCAAACTGAGAACCAACCACCTCTAATTAGGCTTATGCCTTCGTCGCTGATGTTCAAGGTCCCAGCAAATCATCTCAAAA